TTCATCAATCAATAATAATCACACAAAAAAACTGAAGGGGGGCCCAAAACTTCCAGAGGGGCCCCTTGAGAAAACTTTGCACCCCCATCCAAAATTACCTTCCGCCGCCACTGTTCAGAGCCTACGCAAAAATGTGGTGAAAAATGGAGGTGCAAAAAAGCGAGGGGTAATGCCGGCCACTAAGTGCAATAGCACAAAAGTCGAAATATCGTCACTGGTATTCATCCTTAAACCGTTCTTTCGATGGAAATTTAAGTGAGAATTAAGAAACGACAACTGTATTCAGCAGTTAACAGTACACTGCACTGCAACACCACACTGCACTCGCTGCAACACAACAGCGCGGCGCCAACAGAGCAGCAAACTAACACAACCGTAAACACAGCAAGCAAACTAATACAGCCGTAAACACAGCAACCCGAAACGTTGAGCTTTAACGACAGAAGTCGCAAACAAAATCGCGTGGAGTCATTCCGGACACGTGTCCGGTATTACCCCGAGGTCAGCCTTATTTTAAGAAAGCAGGCAGCAGTCAAAGGCATTGCGCCGCAAACGCCTCACATCCAGCAGTCGCCTAAGAAAGGCTTAATTGAAGGTCATTGCAAAGCAGCACTTCTGAAAATGCGTTAACACATTTCACAGTCAGCAAATAGATGCAACAAAAATTAAAAATCAGATACGAAAAACACATTTGACGCTATAAAAATGAAAATAATGGAGCTACCGTGACAAACTTGCACCACGTGCTAGAATGGCGCTCAACTGAAATGTAAACAACATCAGCTGATTAGTGATGGGCAAAGTACTCACTAGAGATGGGTGGCCGGCATTACCCACCGTCCGCCATTGCCCCACTCTCCCCTATACCTAATTTGTCAAATTGTCAAACACTATTTTCGATTAAAACACCGAAATGAATTCATGCTATGAAGATTTTTTGTAAAAGAGATTGGTTGCAGGTTTGGGCAAGTTTGGTGCATTCACCAGATAGGTAGCCCGTCGTGAAAATGACTATTTTACCCTACACTTTTTTGCGGTGTTTCTTTTCGTTTTTTTGTGGTTACACGCTTTCAGTTTGGCGATACCTTTCCCGAGCCGGAAGGATGATAGGACTTTGGGCAGGGCGGCATTGGTCTGGGCAGACACCCTGATGCGCCGCCGGGGCTGAGCCCATCACGTGGACCTGGATAGGCCACCCAGCCCCGCTAACGGTCAACCCACCGCAACTGAGCCTACTCCTGACGAACTACTCACGTCGAATAAAAGCGACTGTCCTGCCCGGAACACGGGATTTGAGGCGAGGAGAAGAAGGATTTGTACTTTCCGAGGTTGGGAAAGATGGGACGGTTGAGACTTTTCTCAGCTATCAGCAGCCCTCTTACACTAGCGGCACTTGCGGTAGACGACTAAAGCTTTGGTACTGCGTACAACCGCCAGAGGTCTCTGACAGCTGCTGCCTTCCCACGGAGAGCATGCTGCGCACTATACAGTGCATGCTGCGCACTATACAGTGCATGCTGCGCACTATACAGTGCATATCACAAGTGTTTTAACGTTTAATCAGAAAGCTGGTAGCACCGTTCCGTGCTTCTATCCTCAGGATACTGAAATCCTTCTCCTCCACGCCACAACCCCCTTCCGGGCTGGGCAGGCAACTTTATCTCATGCGGGCTGCTCCCTTGGAGCGGCACCGCTGCTCCCGAGGGAGCGCACCCCGTAGCCGGGTGCAGTGAGTGCCTTGGGGCTGGGTGGCCTGTCCTCTGGACGGGCTGCGTATTCGCCAATTGTATTACACGAATCGGCCCATCAACTAGCGACATCTCTAGTGCGACGTCATAGCCATCCGCCGCGACAATGCATGCATTGAGGCTAGATTTGAGTTGAGACTATTTTTGCATTGTACATGGCTGTCAGACATGTATGTGTCGCCGTAGCCGAGTGGTTAGAGTCTCGGTGTGATGCACGACAGGTCGTTGGTTCGATTCTTGCTTCAGCGGTTCTTTTCTCTTAAAAAGAACTCGGTCGTAGACGCGCATTTTTGGCCCTTACGTTCGCACGCCAATATCGTACGCCCAATAAATCTCTGACAAGTGTTCATCTGATTAAGGAATAAGTTGCAAAAGAACTGCAGTTGCAGTCTATACCTGAACTACCAATTTTGTTACGGCACTGTCGATATTCGTCAAAGTCGGAAGAGCTATTATGAAACACACTCGAATGACAACGGATTCCTGTATTATTTCATCGATCAGATAAGACATGTATAGAGATAAATTGATGACAGCCCGCCGTGAGCATGCAACTTAACAACCAGTCCCAAGTTATCTTCATAAACGTCTAATATAAATCTTTTGACTTTAACTAGATTCCAAGTAAGAGGACTTAGGTATCCCCCTGGCGGCTGAAATGTAAAAGTTATAGTTAGGGCATAGCTCCTATAGATGACGCTCTGACGGCTGGAAACTGATTATCTCGTCCCGTGATTACGCTAACAGCTATGCCGAACTTTTTTTGTGAATGGTGATTCTTACACGAAAAGCTATCTAATAGCCTGCTTACCAGCGTGCGATTTTTACTTTTCATCTTAGGTTTCGCTACTTTTAGGTACTTTACCTTGCCAAGTGCCCACCTACTTTCAAAAGGTCAGCGCCGCCCCTGTCAATGCTGCGTGCTATCACCCATTGGCAGTGAGAAATATTGATCAATGAATGGCCATCGCCCAGCACCATTTGTCTTTCCATTGGCTACGTTCGCATAGTATGCACTATGCATTAGTGATGTCAATCACAGAAAATCAGAACACCGCTACCAAACCAAATACAAACAAAGACCATTGGAAAATACCGAAACCGAACCAATCAGTTGGACTGCAAATATCTATCTTATGCAACATATTCATTAGAAGAATGCCTACGTCTGATTTCTTAGGTGCACGCCGTTACAAATGTATAAAAAACGCACAATGACAGATGACACGAAAATCGAAGTCGCCGAGTGGATTCGAACCACCTACCTCTGAATCACCAGTCCCATACTCTAACCACTTCGCCACGGCGATAATGTACCCCGCGTAGCTTAAATGTCAATAACTTAAAACCTAGCTTCAATAGACGCCACCAGGGCGAGGACCGAAAGTATGACGCCACGCTGACGTCACTCAGGAGGCAAGCTATTGGTTGGCCGATTCGTGTAATACAATTGGCGAATACGCGGACGGGCTCAGCCCCGGCGACTCACTAGGGTGCCTGCCCAGACCAATGTCTCCCCCTAATTCCTATCATCCTTCCGGCTCTGAAATGGTCTAATTGGACCGAAAGGGCCTAACCCAACAAAACAAACAAACAAACAAACAAAAGCTGGTAGCGGTGACTAAACGTTAAACTGGGCGGAAGAATGCGCAGAGGCATGTGCCTATGCTGAGGGAAGTAAATCCGAGCCAGCTCCAGTCTATATCCTTCCTTATTTCAATGTGTTCTTTCCTATACGCTCCCTAGGTATATTAGAAGAAATTAGAGCGATATTCAAAGAAAGTGTTTTTGGGGTATATTCGGAGAAATGATCAGGGTGTTGTTTTAGACCAACTCCCCTAATATGCTTAAAAGGAATCAAAAAAGCTCTCAGTGCTAGGGAAAGGTGCCAAATTAGCGACCGCCGATCCCTACCCATTTGCAACATATATAGGTACCTCTCTGCAGAACAGCTGCTGAAAGAAAATTGGACAACCCTTTCTGGTAAGCGATTTGTCACGATTTCGTTTGGCTAAAATAATGAGCCTTTCGTTATAATGTTATAATGCTCTTATTGTCACATGCGCCACAAAACGAAACTTTGGCATAAATAGATTGGCATTACGGGCTTGTAATTTGTTCACGACACGAACGACAGGACCTGTTCCAGGATCTGCTGACCTTCTAAAGCAAGGAATTAACGGTAATAAAGTATAAAAAACGGATATGGTTAGTTACCCGAGTATGTCTTGTTGCAAAGGTGATAAGTGGAATGCACAGCGTAACTCGTCAATGGCCTGCAGCATGCACTATTTATGCTTAGGAAAATCAGCCTTATGACTGAAAAAAGTCCTGATTGTCAGCATCACCCATGTGTTAACCCTTGCATGTGTAGGGGGGTCGGATGGACCCCCCCATGGTTTTTCGCGAATAACTCGCGTAAAAAACGGCCGATCGCGACGAAACTTTCAGTACCCTCACATTGATCAATTTTACACCTACCCTGAAAATTTCATGACCCTGACCCTAATGACCTTTGACCTGTGACCTCTTTTCCGAGACCATGTTTGGCCGGAATCGCGATTCCGCGTATGTCGGCTCGCATTAGCCGCGCGTTTGCAAGCTTTTCGTGGTTTCAAACGTTCAAACATGTGATTTGATGTTGCTCCCATGCATTAGGGTGGGTGTCAAGGTCACCTGAAGGTCAGGTCAGGTCATTGACCTTTGGTGACCTCGTTTCACTTTTTCGAGTTTTACATGTTTCTAGGCTAGTTTTTGGAGCTGAATTCGAATTTAGCAACCATTTGAACATTTACGAAGTAGTTTTGGCGACTTCGTAACATGTTACGAAGCTGCCAGAGGCGGTTGACACGTAATACGAATACCCGTCACGACGCCTACTGGTTGACCTGACCTGACCCGACCTGGTCTAAATGCTTAAAGACATCATCTGTGATCAAAACTAACACGATATTCGTGATCAGCACCCCGAAAAAAACCCTTAGCAGCCACACTTTACGACTTTCTAACAGGTCCCGATTTTCCCGACCTTGGGTCATTGACCTGACCTGGAAGGTCAACCAATGTCCTAGAACCTTAAAATTGGGTATCATCGGCTTCCTCTCGTCACGGGCAACACGCTCGTTTTTTCCGCGAAGCTCTAGCTCGATCAGGGGCCAAACGGCAAGGGAGGGGGTCCAACCGACCCCCCCCCCCCCCTACACATTAGAAGCTGGCAAACGCCGCACACATGCGAGGGTTAAGACATAACGACCCATCATTTTTGACACTTTCTTAACCGAATCGTTACGATACAGCGTCACGAATCATAATCAAGATCACGACCACAACATCATCAAGAAGCCAGGATAAATACTTTAGCACCTGCTTTCCACAACACAAACCAGCTTGCCACAACCGTAGTTACGTCAAAGTCTCCATGTTACACTCCTCAACTTCATTCCCATAGCTGACTTCGCCAAATAAATCATCAACCTCCGTACAGTCGCTCACAAAACCATGTTCCCCAATACGTTTCACCGGTTCAATAATATTCTCTCTACCAGAGTACACTCTCAACGTGCCGGCACTCGGGTACACCTCCATCCACTCCGAGAAGAGGACTTCACCTGACATCAGCGGTATGTAGTGATCCACGCAGAGGAGGTTTTTAAGCGGGTCGTCTCTCAATAGCGTCTCGGCGCCAGAGCGTGTCAGAGCATACGCTAGTGTGGTGTAACTGAAACCGGGTCGGACCAGGTGTTCGGAGCCTTCCACCGGCTCAAAGTCGTCCGGAAATGCGGCCTCGCGGAACAGGTAGAGAAAATGCCACTCGGGACGCAGACGGTCGACTTCGTCAACGAGTTGCCGCAGGCGCGCCGGGAAATCAGCGGAAGGGTGGCTGTCGTCTTCTAGAATAATGACGCGGCTCAGATTGTGTTTGATAACGTCACGCCATATGTAGTAGTGGCTCAACGAGCAGCCCACTTCACCTTTGTTGATAAATCTCTTTCTTCCTTCTCCTCGAGGGTGAATGTCGCGCTCCTCTAGAAACTCGTCGGTGAGTTTTCGGCCATCGACGGCGAGCATTCTCACTGCCTCGATGCCGATCTCGTCGAAGCAGGCCTTCAGCCGGCGCCACCGCTCCGGGCGACGCCCGAGGCCGATCACGTAGATCCGGTCAAAGCCGAGACGACTTTTGGTGGGCGGTGGCGGCAGGAAGAGACGCATCAGAGGCACCACTGACATCGGAGGATGGTCTATCAGCGTCTCCAGCTTCATGGCGAGCAGGTTCTGCCACTCGTCCTTCAGCTCCTGGGTCGGCGACAGCGGTACTGGCGTCAGACCGAAATCCTCCCCGTTGCAGACGGTCATTTTCAAACCAGAGTTTCGCGACGATATCGCCAGAGCGACGGCGTCGTCTAGCGTCTCCACTTCCCGCTGGAGTTCACAGCTCTGCGAGACGAACGTAAGACTCGCCGTGCGGGGGTCACGCAGGTCCATCAGCACACATGAACGGACCAGAGGCACCGCGAAACAGCCACGTACTCGACCAGAGTAGATTCGTGGGAAAGCATCCTCCTCCTGAGGCGAGGTCCTGCCGATGCTGGGTTGGAAGTTGGAGTACCCTCCGGCGGAGCGTAACATCGGCGCCACCACCGGCTTCCGCACACTCTGCAGACGGCGGAGGACGGAGCGGTCGTGTAGAACGACATCAGCGTCCAGGAACCAGACCATGTCTATGCCGAGTGTTCTCGCCCTCTTCAGGGCCTCCTGTTTCATATCACCCACGGCGCGGAGCCGGCCAGGAGACAAGCGCACGGCGCTGCGTTCGTCCGGCCGCAGCGACGGCGAGCTGGCGTTGACGAACGCCTCCACGGACAGATAAGGCAGACTGTACCGCTCCAGCCAGGTGTGCAGAATCTCGGCCGATCGGTCCTGGTTGTGGTCGCTGGCGATCCATAGCGCCAGCCGCTCCTTGGGGTAGTCAAGCCGGCTGAGCTGTGAGAGCGTGTACGGCAGGTAGGTCTCCTTGTTGCGCACCAGCAGCACGATCATGACGGAAGGATTGCTGCCTTGAGCGACAGCCAGCGCTTTCAAAACTGCAAGCGTCACAAGCATAAACGATGCGTTCATACGCAGCATGGCTTGATCAAAAGCGTCCAGAAGCGTTCGGAGAGCAAAGGTGAAGACTGAAGAGAAACACCAATTAATCCAGGATGCTCAAGCTACCACTTGGAAGATGACGTGATATTCTGAAATACATAGAACAAAACTGCTTAGAACACTTTAATGTCATTGGTCGATTGATGCATTATGCAGTGGGCAGCAATATACCTTCAATTATGACGGCAAGCCTATGTAGGTGTGAAATGCAGCCTATTTAAAAAAAAAAAACGATAACAAATAATCGAGAAACGAAAACTGTAAAACAACTGCACCGGTTTTTGCTTCGTGAACGGCAAGTGTTCGTGAGTACACACCATCCAGCACTGATCTCTTCTCCGTAACGTGAGCACACTCTCACCTGCCTCCCGTGCGGTGCTCCACGTGCGGTGCGTTGCTCCACGTGCTCTCACCTGCCTCCCGTGTGGTGCTCCAGCTCCCAACACCACCGATCACCAACTGCCACGGTGTCAGATGCCACATCAGCACCAGTGGTGACAACCCTGCTCCGTAGCAGTCTGACTGGTGTAGCCAGTTTGGCGACAGGATTAGTACATATATCGCGGACTTTGTCAATAAAAACAGCGGATATGATCTTATAGACTGGATCTAAACGGTGGTTGACCTTCAGCGAGATCGGGTGCTGTCAGCAGTGAACAGTTATATGGTATTTGACATTTTAATTATCTCGTGCGCTGTTGAGGGATATGCACCTATATTTAGAACCAGCAAGACGCCGTTTAGCGTGGTAAACGAGCGAGTTCAATACTCAATCGTAAATCACTATAAGTGAGCCCTCCTAGTATGAAAGCACGAGCTTAGTTACGTCAACGTGTTGGACATAATGTTGTGGGCCAGCCATTTCGGCCATCCTCGAAGACGGGTTAGGGTGGTGTTGGCGGCAAACACTGTAAAAGACAAGTGAGTATGTATATTGTATATTCCCAAGTCCAGGCACATTGGTTTTCACCGCCAGGGTTTCCGATCGGAGTGGTAGGAAGGGGCGGTGAGTGATAGGACAGTGTCGCCGGCACTGGCTCAACAGTCACAGAAGTAACCCTCCTGAAGCAGCCCCTGTCACCCAACCACAACAAGCTGATCTGATCCCCGGCTCACGGTATGCCGGGAGCCGGTTCAGGAGCTGGGCCTCCAGCTTATAGGTGGAAACCGTCAGAAAGGGAGGTCGAGGTGAAGACACCTGGTTGAACATCTAAGATAGACACGGCTCTGACTGGATGCAATGCAGTAGTGCTCGTCTCGGCAAGATGAAATAAGGCCACCTGCAATGAGCAATGCAAATTTGCAAAACAAAAATGTTCCATGATCATGCTCCACGCGGGGGTGGTAGGTAATAAAAGTTCAACTCAGTTTCCTTCAAATAGACGTACACGCTGCGTTCAAAATATTGGATGTTAAACAAACTGGCATATCATCCATTTTCAGTTTCCCTTCGGACAAATCACATTCCTGGTAAGGCCGACGTGACAAACAGATTCAAACCTCACCCCGTATTCAACTCTCGTCCTCAAACACGAGCGTTCCGTAATTGCCGTCCGCCAGCTCTACCGTTTCGTAATTGACGTCTGCTCTGTAAGTGTCCCGATTCAATTTGACCCATCGCCTCGGGCCGGTGGGCTGTTGCGTTATTGAGTGGCGCGCCTCTGATGTTGCGTTATTGAATTTGCCCGGCGAGATCGTGTGTGTGTGATCGGCATTGAGCATGGACTCGATTAGAGTCGACACCCCGATCGGCTGATGGAGGCGGATAGCGCCGGAAACGAGCCGCGGCTCGAGCGGGCTCCAATCAGCGATCGGCCGAGCCGGCGGCACCAACGAGGGCACCAGTGCTGCACCAGGGCGGCACGAGCGAGGGCACCAACATAGCGGCACCAACGAAGGTATCTCGGAGGTACTAACGCGGCACCAAAGTCGCACCGATGTTACACTAAGGTACGGCACAAACGAGGAAATGATATGATGCCGCCGGCCGCGTTAGCACGACGGTGCTAACGTGGCACTAGCATGTAACCAAAGTCGATGTGACACAAACGCGGACGTGATAGCACCGCGGTGACATAGATCATACCACGATCCCTCAACGGCTGAGCGGACGATGATAGATTGGAATCCAAATCCAAATCCATCGCTCACCTTCACGCAATAAACTTGGATGAGGTAGGGAAGCCAAACAGTTCATACATAGTCAACAACCGAGAGAGGGCGTCAACTTTCCTCAAACCACATCACAGGACGACCACCCACGGGTGGAGAATTGTGCTGGACTGGGGGTGCTCGAGCTCTCCCAATTCCACGCCGGCCACGCCGGCTTGGCTTTGGAGCCGCGGCCGGGCGGCGCGGGTCAAGGTCACCGCTAGGCGGCGGCGGATTTGCTGCGCCCGAGCACCCCCAGCTGGTCACAATTCTCCACCTATGCGACCACCTCACTTTGCACAACACCCCTGCACTCTGCACTCTGCGGTGACCCAAATGACCCCGTGTTCCCCATATTCACAATCCCGTCTGACAGGTCAGAGGCGCGGCGAAGAAGTGTGATGGCCCACCGCTGTGCTATTCGCTCCCTCCCCTCATCTGCTGTCCTCACCTCGCCTTCGCGGATCTCAGCTCAGAGGATCCCGGCGCAAAGCCTAACGTGCGCTGCGGCTTCCGGTAAAGGAATTCCACGGCTTAGCAAGCATCCAGTGTGATGTATTGTAATAGAATTTGGAGGAACTGCAGATGCGAGCCTGGGCGAGCCAAGACCGGGCAAAATGGTGGGGAAAGGAACTGATGGAGTTGCGGTGGGGCACGATTTTTCAGATGTTGTAAAAGTAGTTAATACTTTGATACTTTGATATATCTTAGCTTAAGAACAGTTTCACTAATGTCGCAAGGAAATAGGCGTTTAAATGGCGTCGTAAGCTCAAAGCTGGAATAAGTTTTCATGCGATTCACTTATATCAAAGCGTGTTCACTTTCCACATGGTTCACTTTCCCATGAATTAACCCTACGCACACACAGATCCATTGAGTCAGCCATGAACCAAACAAAACTATTGAAAGGATGGAAAAACGATAGAAACAAACAATACGTTCGAATAAAACAGCATCTCCTGCTGGAATGAGCATATAGCCAGAAATACCATTAAGTCAACAATGACCGAAAGATCAGAGGCTGCATGGTTCCTGCAGCAGCTTAAAGAGATCGAGGTTATCCGGAATGTTACTGAATGCAGAATAAACAAACTATCTTGTTGGGGAGCTGACGCCGGCGTTTGTAGCTTCGCCTCATTCAAGTAAAACTATTTTCTTTCTATGAACAATTACAACATTCCAGCCGTCACCTTTCACCTCCCTTCCCTCCCCAAGACGCCGCCTGGCTCCGCCTCTGCGCCCGCTGCGTCTCACGGGAGACCTCCGTAGAGTCTCCCTCATTCTGACCAGTATTAGCGGGATTCTCGTGTCCACACGCCTAAGCCAGGTGAAATATTATTAAGTTTGCGGCTCAGACGCTAGAGAGGCTCGTAAAGATGGGGTAGATGGGCGGAGGCAGTGCTTCGGAAACAGGGAGGGTGAGAAAAGTCGAGTAGGAGGAGATAGCATTCTGTTTTGGTGTTCCTAACGGGTTGGAAGAGCCCCAGTGAAATCTAGGGCGCTGACTCGCACTGCCCTTTCCGGGCTGGCGCCGCGGTCAACCCCACCAAATAGCAGGTCGCGACTCGCGGTGGTAAAGTAAGGGCAAGCAGTCATTGGGTTACACCCTCTCAGGGATCACCGTTTGAGCGGTAGGCCTAATTGGGCAGGTCTGTCATTGGCAGGCCTGGCCCATCTTGCTTATCTGGGTCCACTGGGATGGTCTTTGGCGGTGCGGTCCTCATAGTCTAATGTCTCCACTCTGCCCTATCGTCCCATATCTCAGATCTCTGGAAATGTCTCTTCAGGCCGAAAGAGTTTGCCCCTCCCCCCCCCCTCTAGCCGTTTTGACGCCAGTAGCAACGTAGCCATGGTAGCGTGGCCGAGCGGTCTAAGGCGCTGGTTTAAGGCACCAGTCTCTTCGGAGGCGTGGGTTCGAATCCCACCGCTGCCAGAGATTTTAATACAATCAAGAGAGGAAATTTTTACGTGTAATAAGTTTGCTTTTTTAGGGAAAATGTTAAACCACAGTATCATCATACAAGACGGACACTGTATGCATGGGAGAATGTAGAGTAAAACCAAAGAAATTATTCAAAAGTTTCGCCCTTAGCTTTAAAATGTTTCGGCTCACCCCTAAGTTGACATTCTCATAGCAAGGCTATCTTTAGTGCACAGATCTTTGAATTAACCAGTCTATAGGATTGCCAGACAAACTGGGTCCAGTGTACTGGTGGAGAATCATTGGCCATTTCACCAGGCATATCATAAAGAAAAACAGTTTTACGAAGAGCCATGCGCTAAGTCTTGATTAAAAGACATTTTTGTGTGAACCGTGCGTGCAATGCGCATGCTTTGTCTGTTGTCTAAAAGTATTGAAATAAATCAAATTTTTAACAGTTCCCGCCTCACAGGTCAAGGTAGCGAAAATAAGGCATAGGGAGTTAGGTACCTACCTACCTGCTCAGGAGTGAAACAGCAGAAAAACGTGACGCTTTTGAATTTTGACACATCTGTCGGACAAGTTTTACCAAAAGTATAAAATGCTCAAATGATAAACGAAGTACGCAGTCATTTCATTTTTCAATAAATCGCTCCTTGAAACAATGGACAGTTACCTAAAGAACGGATAGGAATCAGCGTTACTTTACAATATGTATGGCCGGTTAGCTCAGATGGTTAGAGCGTCGTGCTAATAACGCGAATGTCGTGGGTTCGACCCCCACACTGGCCAAATCTTTGCGACACCGGAGCCAACTGTATAGGTCACGAAAATAAAACACTGGGATGGTAGGTAAGTAGAAGTGGCAAAATGTCGGAACCCGAGGAACCGGTGCATAGTGTTTTACATGATGCAACCAATGATGCCTGCAAATAATTTGTATTCAATAACTTTAGTGGTAGGGAGTCCAACTGGTTCTGATTCCAACTAAGACCGGGTCTGGCTGGTTCTAGAAATGTCCAGTCGGGTCTGGTTCGAGTCTGGTTCCATGCACAAAAAATCACCTTTTGCCACCTATTATAGTAAAAGTTAGCCAACAGCATCATTCGAGTGTTCAGTCACACCATCGTCCTACGAACTAACGAATAATTGGATATCGTAAAATATAAGAATAGGACAAAACATCTAAAACTTACCGATGTTCGCTGACATCTATTGTTCGGGGTACTCACTCTGTTCTGCAGCGCTGTGTCAAGATATCCAGTATAGCGATCCTCTGGTCATCATCATGACGGCTCCCCGACATACCTGAAACAGAAGGCGTCACTGCGAAACTCGCTTTAAAGTGGTATCCTAGTAACCATTCATTAATGGTCAGGCAATTGTACACGTCAATGGTCATCATCATAACCGGAAGTAGGTAGGATAGTAATACTTAGGCCTTCGTCCAAGAAAAGTTTTTTAAGTGCCTTACAGTAGCTTAGTTACTACAAAATTATATTAGCTCCACAAGTTTATACAGGGTGTCCAGAAAAAACGGATACTATTATTTTTTGCTGTAATTCCGAAAATAGGT